CTTTTTGGATTCTATTAAAATGGAAAACAAAGATATATAAGGAAAAAAAGAGATTAACTGGAATTTGGTACCGGTATATTTATTGAGACCCAATTTTGTAATTGATTTATTTATTTTTTTTCCAGTTTCATCAATTGATATTTTTTTTTGCCTTTTTGTTGTAGCATTTTATAACCTCTGCCAAGGATGATATATTTTTAGGAGTGTGGGTGTGTGTCTGTGTCTGTGTATGTCTGTCTGTGTATAGCAGGCATCCCCAAACTTGGTCCTCGAGGGACGCTGTCCTGCAGGTTTTAGAGGTTTCCTTGCTCCAGCACAGCTGATTTTAATTGAAAGCTGATTAACAGGCTTTTGCTCTACTGCAATCATTACAATCAGCTGTGCTAAAGCATGGAAACCTCTAAAACCTGCAGGACAGCGGCCCTTGAGGACCGAGTTTGGGGATGCCTGGTGTATAGGATAACTTGAAAAGTTATGGACGGATTTAATGACATTTTTATCAGTGGTTTCCCTCATGCCAAGGAAAAATCCATAAAAGTTTGGTGATGATCCAGATCAAAATCCTGTCGCAGGAATTAAATCTCTAAAATTGTTAGAATAGGATATTTGGCAGAACAAGCAGTCTCTCCCCTTAAACCAGAGGGTGGCAGCACTCAATATTGACAGTTTCAGCATTGGACTCAAATATTCTAGAGGCATTTTACTGAAGACAAAAACAGAAGAAAAGGGAATGTTGTTGGTTTGTTTGCAGGATAAATTAAACCCATGAACAGATTTGATTGAATTTGTTTGTTTTTTTTAACCAAAAGTTGACCTTAAATAACTTGAGTGAGTAGGGCCTAATATCCATCCATCCATCTTCTTACACGCTCAATCCCAAGTGGGGTCGTAAGGGGTGCTGGTGCCTATCTCCAGCTGTCTACGGGCGACAGGAGGAGTACACCCTGGACAGGTCACCAGTCCATTGCAGGAGAAGGGCCTGCTAGAAAAATACACAGACCAACCCTATTTACTCCACCATACCTTCTTTAAGATCATTTTAATTCCCTTTCCTCTTTATGCAATACTTGCTTTGACTTTAGCAAGATGTTTTTACCATATGTAGATGGCTAAATGCATTGGGATTGTTGTGCCATAGGCTGTGATATAAATTTTGGACATTTGGGACCCTCCCTTACGGGTCTGGCAAACTGCTGTAAAACGAAGAGTTTCTAGCTAAGTAGGGTTTTTTAGGGAGTTAGGGCTCTAGATGATTTCTGGTTATTTTGGGTGTATTCATTTTGAGGAAAGCAAGCCAAGAAACTAATGGCAACCGGGTGGTAGCCAGGCCAAAATTCTAAAATGTTTTGAAAGTTGTTTAGAAAGTTAAGACAAACTTTACTTCAATAAGGGTTTAAACACTAAAATTTCTAACATAAAAAAGTTATGTTTCCTGATATGCTTTTACATTAGACTGCTAAAACATGACCTAAGAGTCCTTCATGTCTACTAGTTACTGGCTCCATTGTCTTCATAAACCAAACCTAGCTTAGGAAGCTAGGTGGTCCTTATCCTTAATAATTCTTTAAGGTATAATCACAGGAGGATATATTTTATTATCTAAACAGTCACTGAAATCTAATTTGGGCAAACTATTTAATATCATTTTACAAAAACAAAGTTTTATTTCCCTCTTGGATTTGCAATGTGAACTGGTTTGAGCACAATTCAGTTTTTCTATATTGATGAAAGCTTATTTATTCCAAGCTTATTTGATTAAATTGAACCCAACGTTTAATCATTTCTGTAATTAATTATTCTTATGAATAGAATTTTTTTTTAATTTATTTACCATTTGACAATCATTTGAAGTCAGATCACACTTTCATTTGTTGTCCGGACCCACAACCAGTTGGGCTTGTTTTCACAAAACACAAAATATGAGAGTCCAAGTTATTTCATGATAAAAATATAAAATACAACATCATTTAACTGCATAAAAAACTAATAAGACGCAGTTGGCAGTTTTTTCTTGTATAAAACATGCTTGTGTATCTATCGTTGAGGGCAGAGAGGGTAAGATGCAATTGATATAAATCCACCAAAAAAGGAAAGATAATAGATGTATTTACAAAGCAATGTTATTTTAGATTTAATAGAACAAAGAAATATGGAGATCACAATCTTTACAAACTCTTTTGCTTTGTTTACTTGTACAATGTGAAGCTTTATAGAAAAAAAGTTGAAAACCTGAAGCTCTCACCTTTCACCCTATAGAATAAAGAAAACACTTTTAAGTATAAATTTGTAATTTGTCATCCTATTTAACAACATAAAAAACATGCAATTGCTGATATTTATTTTACGATATGTATGTTGATAGAAGTTTAGGAAAAAGAAATCATGTTCAGCCCTAGAGATTAAAGGTTTGTTTTGGTACGATATTTTCAAGCTGCATTCAAAATAATTTACCGATCCTATAAAATACAGTTTCAGCATCCATTCAGAAAAAAATTACTCTTTTGAGGGTGATATTTTTTACACATATGGACATGGGCTACTTATGGTACAGAATAAAGAACAGGAAACGTACCTAAATCTAACCCTGTTCGGAGGAAAGCTCCCCTCTGTCCGGTTTCTGCTGATTTGTGATCTTAACACAGCCCACCATCTGCTATGCTATAAATATACTCTTAGTCTTTACCACAAGCCAAGTTAAACAATCATGACTTTGGTCAAATAAATCAACATTTTTGCCACAGTCCCTTGAAGAAAGCAAGTCAAAATTAATAAAGCTTGAAATTTAAAAACATTAAAAATACACTAAGCGTTTAGGTTTTTGGCTGTTTTTTTTTTTTTTTTTTTTTTACATAGTTTAAAAAAAATCTTAAGTATTTTTTTTTTCTGCTCCTATCATGATCATTCAGAACAACACTGTCTGATGATAAATCAGATTGAAACTTTCCTGTTTTATGGAAACGTACTCAAAAAGTTTATTTTCCTTAAATACAGTAAAAAGAGAACCTTTTTGCTCACAATTGTCGAGTCAAACGCCTACGCATAAATGCATATGCCTATCTTTAGTATTTGGTAGAATTTTCTTGCAGACTGTTTGACTTCGGTCAAACATTCCTTCCACAACCTTTCCCCAGTAGTTTGCCGGGGTTCTGCCCCCTCCTTCTCACTGAACTGTGGTAACTGAGTCAGCTGGAAGGACATCTTTCTTGCAAAACATTTTCAGCTCTTCACACAAATTTTCTGTGGGGCTGAAATCAAGCCTTGACGATGGCTCCTCCAAAACCTTAACTTTATTTCGTAAGACTATTTTCCCAGAAATCTTGGCACTTTTATAAGTCGTCCTCTATTTAGCGACTGCATTTACCCCTAATGTTAAACTTTCTGGCTGATGCCTAGGAGATGTTGCTACGATATCTACACAAATGTCCATTACTCATGGTATCATCTGTTTTGCATCTATTTTGTGAAGTGTAGCAGTTTCTCCTGCAGCAACCCCAGCCCCTCCCCACACACACAACATGGTGCAGCCAACACTATGCTTGATACTTGGAATGATATTCTCAGGCTTGAAATCTATTTTCATTCAAAATGTCACAGTGGTAAGAAACGTCACTGTTAGTTGTTCAGCCCACAAAACATTTCTCCACAACTTGAACTTCTATGAAACTGTGTGACAGCACATCTATGTGTGTAAACAGCTGACTAGTTTCACTATGACTTTGGCATTTAACAAAAAATTGTAATCCAAACGGAAACTAAAATGCTCAACATTTTGTCTGACTTGATTTCAGACATTTTAAAGCAAACAAAGATGTATAATCTCCTTTTGTGACGGATAAAAAAAGCCACGGGGTTAACTTACTTTCAAAACACTATCCATTATTTCTCTGAGCAGCAGACCTGCATCACAGAAGAAAAGACAAACATGCCTGAGCAGATTTTTTGTTGGGTTTTTGTCTGTGTGATTTTAGTTCTTTTTTTTTAAATGCTGAAGATATTTCCAGTTCCTGTGTTTTTGGCAAAGTCATGTGAGATCCCCCGGTTGCTTGTATTGCAGTCTTGATTAGACACACGTGACTGACTGGAAACCCTTACTGGCAATACAAGATGGACTGGGGAAAATCAGAAAAGTTCCAGAGTTTTGAAACATAACAAAGATTGAACCTTGTGGGCTACTAAAAGCAAGAAGGCATTCACCAGGAACTTGATTCTCTCCTCACTGTGTGGAATATGTTTGGCCTAGCTCACCTCATTTCATAAATTAACTGCAGTGTTTGTGTAGAAGAGAAGACATTTTTACTTTTGCAAGTGAACTCCACTACCTCACAGAGGAAAAATGCTTCATTTCCCACAGAAACACCAGCCAAGATGAATTGGTGAGGGGAAAATATTGGGGTATTTTGTTTAGCACAAGAATTTCAAAGAGACCAAGAAATGTAAATGTGACTTACTGATATAAAAGTAGAGCATATTATGATATTTTACAGAATACCAACTAGCCCCCACCCCCACCCAACCAACACACCAGCTCCTCCGCTTTGGGCTTTGTTTTTGCAGGGGTTGAGGGCAAGAAGTGGAAATAGCAAAGTTACGATTTATATCATAATGAATGCCAACATAAATTGGATGCCCAATTTTTCTTTTCCTGTTGCTGCATGCTAGATTTTTTGTTATTTTACCACATCAGAAGATCATTTCTATTTTCATTGATTACAGAGAAAAAGGTGCCAGAGACAATATCGAAACTGCAACTGATTTAATGCTCAAAAACTGTAAAGCAGAAACCCGGCAATTCCAGGATTCAGAGTGAGCAGAGGGTCTTAGATGGCATAAAAAATCCTGTGATCCCAACTTTTCCCAATCTTTTTCTGTCTCTCTCCTGTCTCTTCCTCCTTCACTTAGATTTCACCCCCCTCCTCCCATTTTTCATGGCTCTGAGCCTATGAGCTGGCGCAGGCCCTTGCTTGTTACACACCCCAGCGGGGCTTTATAAAGGAGGGCTGCAGGTCTCAGCAGCCACACACAGTCTCCGCTTGTGCCTCTGCCTTTTTCGTCTTGTTGTTTCTGCTTCTTCAGTCTCCTGGTTGGATTAGTGATGCAGATGACACCCTGCAGGACCAAGTATTTTCAGCTTATACTTTTGGGCCCCTTCTTGATGGCTGTAGGCCTGGCCGCCATGGACAGCCAAGGTGAGAAGATCATAGGGTCAGGATATTGGTTATGTTTGCGGGCAGGCTAAAACATATAAGCAGGTAACCACAACCTGGAAAGTGTGAGATTGTGATGGCAGACATGTCGCTGGGAATTAAATTAATCGTGATCCAGGTTGAGGTGTGTGGGTGTCACACAGTCTGAGCTGATGAACAAAAAACCTTGTGTGAGAGTGTTTATGCCTATGCCAACCTGTTTATGTAAACTGTAGGACCTTATATTTATTTTTCCGTTGTTAGCTAAGCTTTCCTGAAAGTACTGCTTTTGACGGCTTAATGAATAGACAGATTTCTGTTTTGGCAGTTAGACATCTGCAACTTTTTTCCTATGTCAAATCCTTTCCTTGTTTTCCAAAAGGTAAACTCAATGTTTCAGAAATAGACTGAACAAATAAACATGTGTACATAATTACTGTTCATTAAATCCTTCCATTCTTAACCTTTGGAACATCTTTCTGTGTTTGGAGCAGCATTGCATCAACTTGAGAAGGACCCATCTTACTGGGATGCAAAAGCAAAGGAAACACTGGATGCTGCACTTAAGCTTCGTCGTCGAGAACATCGGGCTAAAAACATGATTCTCTTTCTTGGTGATGGTAGGTTAATGCTGTCTTTATTAAATGTAACTCACTCATTTTTAAACTAGTTTCGATTTAATGTTATCGTAAGTCCATTAGGTATGCTTCTGACCTGAATTTTTACATGCATATTAAATATATCAATAAAAATAACACATTAATAAACATCAATACATAAGTAGTAATACTTTCATATAGAACTAGCAAAAAGGGCCAAGTGGTAACTTTAATAATCAAAAAAGATCTTGAACATAATATCAAACATGATTTAAAGTTATTAAGAGCATACTTTTTATAATTAGATAGATTTAACTAGTGTTAAAGATAATTTTTACTAATATTAAGATCTGTTATGACCCTTATAGATAAAGGTTATAAAAACCTGTATATCTCAAGACAGTGGGCTAATACAATAAGCTGTTTAGTTTTCTCCTGATAAATACAAATTTCACTCCTCAGTTTTCAGAGAACAGGTTAACAATGCTAAAAAGAAATTTAACAGATAAATTTGCATGACTTCACCTACTGTTTTAAACCAAAAAGGTCTATAAGAAATCTTAATATAATTTTATGTAATAAAATTGATAAAATACATACAAATTTAAAATAAAGTTTATAAAATACATACAAATTTACAAGAATAAAACCTAATCATGAACACTCTTAACCTAACGCTTTATTAAAACCTGTGTTTTTTTTCCTTTCTTTCTATAGCAAATAGTCTCAATAATTGGAGGAAATTTGGGGAAAACGGGAACATTACAATAGACTAATACTTTTTAAATTGAGTATTCTCTAAGTCTGTCATATGTAGATGCTCTGTATATACTGTATATATCCCATGCACCTTTTTTCTTCTTTTTTTTCAATCAATCAATCAATCAATCAATCAATCAATCAATCAATCAATCAATCCTGAACCAAGAAGTATTTAATAGGAAATGTGGCTGAAACCCTAAAATGTGTTTCAGGATATGTTTGGGTTTAATGAGGATAAAATTTAAGTTTAAGACAGAAAAGGGAACACGATGAATTTGACACATTGCCAAAAGCACAACCACTACCATATTTCCACTGTGAAGTATGGTAGTGGCAGCATTATGACCAGGGGCTGGCTTTCTACAGATGAAAGCATTATTTTTTTCTGATTAAGTAAGGATAGAAGCGGAAATAATCCACATTTTAGTCAAACTTTTCTTAAAAGTGCAAAACAAAGTATTTTTTATATATTGAGTCGAGGCTCCATCCAATAATACATATTACTGAATGATAGAAATAGGAACGTTTTTGGACAGCCTAGTCAGAATCCAAACCTCATCCCGACCGAGCAACCTATCAATCACTCAAAGGTGTACATTTATCTGGCAAACTGCTTCAGTCTCATGGAAATGTTATTTTCCTTCTAAAGAGTTCTGGATACCTTTATGTTCTTTTGGTACATCACTACTTTTCTTGGCTCCATTACTTGCTGTTTAGCTCTTAAGGTAGGAGTGTGATAGTCTTGGCAACAACTCAATTTTCCTGTGTTTGAATGTTATTGAGGAATAAATGTAATAGCCTTGTAAAGTTTTATAGTTTCTAACTTAAGTGGGCACCTTTGTGCTGTGTTTGCTGACTTGAACAGTCATGGCCGAGGTTCTAGCCTTGTCCTATGATTTTCCAACGTCAGTAGAGTTAACCTTAACAGGAGACCATTTACATCTGGCTTGGATAGAAATTCTTGTGTGTTTACAGTCAGCAAGGCATTAAATTAATTGTTGCAGGAAAAGCTGTTCTAAGACATATGGATTAAATAACTGTTTTCCAGTTAACTACTAAAGTATCTGTTTTAAATCAACTCTACTTGGTCACATTTCTGGGTGGTCGAGGTTTGGTTTTCTTGGTGAATCTCCCCTTTCTGCCATCTCTGGAGCCTGTTCTAAGTTTTATGACTGAGATTCTTAAGTTAAATTTGCTGCAGCTGACATGTTCTTTTGGCATTTGCTATTTATAGGTTAAGGGACAAAGTCCTGAAGGTAAAGTACATCCCTTAACTATTCTACATAAGCTACTAATGTGATGTTTGGGTCTTCACAGCAGAACTTGGACCTATTCTCACAAACCCACCCAACAATTTTCCCCAGTTTTATTTTGCACTGCAAAGGCATATTATCTAAATACTGATTATGTTAGCTTTAGTTTTTTTTTTAATTAAAATCCAGTCACTAAAAAGAAACTGACTGTTATAAAGGCAGCTACATAAAGTTGCAGTTGTGTTATTCATATTTAGAAAATGGGGGCAGAAAATGCTGTGACTTTTTGTGACCTTGGTGGGCAATGAACACAGATATGTGAACCATTCTTTGCTAAATATGTGATTAATTATGTTATTACTTTGAAATAGCAAAGACAAGGAAAACAGATGGGAGCCTAAAGTAAATTTATTTGTCTCTCATTCTTTGACAGGGATGGGTGTGTCCACGGTGTCAGCAGCACGTATTCTGCGAGGCCAGAATGAGGGCGGGTCTGGAGAAGAAACAGTGCTGGCCATGGATACTTTCCCATATGTTGCCCTTTCTAAGGTAATAATACAGAGCATGACTGTTGTAATCTAGGTTGTTTTCTAGGTGTTTTGAACCATCATCAAGCTTCAATATTTACAAGTTGGGACATCAATTTAAAAAATAGAATAAACTGAGCAACCACAATACAATCTTCCTCCCATTTATCATGAGTTCCAAAGACCTAGCCTTAGTTCTGGTCATTGCCATCACTGATGAGGCCCACCACCGTGGTGTTGTGCAAACCTTCCGAGGTGATTGGTGGTGAACCTAGGGACGCAGTCATGTGTCATCAGGGTAAACAGCCGGAGGCTCAGGACGCAGCCCTGAGGGGAGCTTGTGCTTAGGATGATGACATCAGAGGTGTTCTGTCCGACCCGGACTGACTGCGCTCTGTTGGTGATGAAGCCTAGCAGCCAATTTTGAAGGGTTGTATTGAAGCCCAGCTGTTCCAGTTTGCCCATCAGATGCTGTGGGATGATGGTGTTGAAAGCTGAACTGAAGTCCATGAACAGCATCCGCACCTGGGTATTCTTCTCCTCCTGGTGTGCCAGGCCCCGGTGGAGAGCAGCAGAGATGGCGTCCTCAGTGGAGCAGTTCCGTCGGTAGGCGAACTGGAATGGGTCGAATGTTGGCGGCAGACTGGAGATGATATGTTCTTTAACCAGCCTTTCAAAGCACTTCATCATGATTGGAATCAGTGCATCAAGGCGGTGATCATTTGGTGAGGTGACCTGATGCCTCTTTGGGACCGGAATAATGGTGGCAGACTTGAAGTATTCTGGCACTGTGGATTGGTCCAGCGAGGTGTTAAAGATGTCTATGAGGACACCAGCCAGCTGATCTGCACACTCCTTATATACCCGCTCAGATATGTTATCAGGTCCTGGGGCCTTTCTTGGATTGACTCTCCTCAGAGTTTTGCTCACTTGAGTTACGTCCAGGTTTAGTGTCTCCTCTCCCTGGTGTGGAATGGCTTTCACTGCTGGAGTGCTGTTTAGTGCCTCAAACCTTCCAAAAAAGTTGTTCAGTTAATTTAGGAATACAGTGTTTGCTGCATCTACCAGGGGGAGGGTGTGTTGTAGTCTGTGATTATCCGAATGCCTTTCCACATCCTCCTGGTGTTGCTGTCGTTGTGGAAAAGATCCTGGATTTTCTGGCTGGGGTTCTGCTTCGTTGATCTGATGGCATGGTTTAAGTTGGCACACGCTGTCCTCAGTTCCTCTTTATCACCAAACTTGAAAGCTGAGTTCCGTACTTTTAGCGATTTCCTAACCTCTCCATTTATCCAGGGTGGTTGGTTGGCCCGGGTGGTGATGTTCTTTTTGATGCTGTTGTCCTCAATACATTTGTTGATGTAGGCTGACGCAGTCATGGCATACTCATCAATATTTAATAAGTTGTCATATGCTGCTGCAGCCTTGTAGATGTTCAAGTCAGAGCATGCAAAACAGTCTTGGAGGTCTCCATGGCACCCTCAGACCACACTCGGACCTCTTTAACTGTCGGTTTAGCCCTGATCAGCTGGGGCTTATATGCAGGGATAAGCATGACCGAGGTGGGGCGGGGGCCTGCTCTGAATGCATCTTTGATGTTATATAATGAGGTCTAAAATATTTTCACCCAGAGTTGCAAAGTCCACATGTTGGTAAAAATGAGGAAGAAAAGTCTTCAAGTTAGCCTGGTTAAAATCCCCAGCAATGATGAAAACACCCTCTGTGTGCAGATTGGAGCTCAGAGATAGCCTGGGATAGAGTCGTCATGGCTTCTTATGTATTAGCGCTGGGGGGCACATAAACAGCAGTGATGCAAACCACACTGAACTCTCTGGGCAGATAGAATGGTCTGCAGTTAACAGTTAGAAACTCGATGTCTGAGAAGCAGAATCTGGCGACCGATCTAGTTTTTTTACACCATCTCTTGTTGATGTAAACACAGAGCCACCTTGAGTCTTACCGCTCAGTTCTTTGTTTCTATTGGCGTGGTATAGCGTTAGCCCCTCCAGGTTAATAGCATTGTCTGGTATTGCTGGATGCAGCCATGATTCTGTCAGAATAATGGCGCAGCAGTTACTAATTTCCTTCTTTGATGAGAGTTCCAGTCGAAGATTATCCATTTTGTTTTCCAGCGAGCGGACGTTGGAGAGCAGGATTAATGGAAGCGTAGGTCTGTGGGGATTTCTCTTTACCTTTACATTTAGCCCCCCTCTGCAGCCTCGCTTTCTCTGTCTCACGCATCTCTTCCTGCAGCAGTTACGTTTTGCTGTTGTGTTGTTGAGATTCATTTGTAGCACTCTGCAGCTCTTTAAGCAGTCAAAAATGTCAGTATTTAAAACGTTTTGTAACCATAGATGTCAGTTGAAAGTCTAGTTTGTATTGTTTTAAGCGGCATATTCTTTGAAATTGTTAAGAGGAGTTGTTCTTGGCCGCTGCTTTGGAGCGCCGCCATGGTAAATTCACAGAACATGTCATCACAAGGCACTTTGCAGAGACAGTTCAACCAGATCATACAGTCAGACTGATTCAACGTTTACTATCTAAGGAAAACCAGCTGATTGCATTGACCCATTGACTCCACATCCCTCACACTGAGTATGCCGTCATCAGCTCTAGTGGCTCCAGATCAGGGAAAGACACCTGCTGTTGGCTCTGGTGCTCAATTCTTGCGGGGTTCTTGCTCTGATCTAATGCTGTCCTCCTGCAGTTCTTGCAATTACAATAACTTCCAGAGCTGGCCCTCGCAACCCATTTCTTTCCCCTCCTGCCTGTCTAGCGCACACTCTGTCTGGCCCCTTATCTTACTTCTGTTTTTTGGGCAATCCTTCCCTGAAGCAGAATAGTTTTTTACCGAGACTCATTAAAATTCAGATCCTCCATACTGTTGAAACCGGCAAGCAGCAGATATAAGCTCCTTCTATTTGTTGAGGTGGTGAAGTGGCAGGTGTGCAGCCTGCCGCTTGTAAATTCCTGACCCTTGCCATGTGAATTGCTGGCAACATGATAGGTGAGCAACAGAATGCTGGAATACCATGCAGAGTGAGTGCACCACCAGATCCGTTGCTTGGTATGTGGTAGGTTTTCAATGAAGGTGGAAAGATGGGGCCACTGTGTTTAGCAAGATATCTACAGGTGTTTACTTTCTGTTTTTTTCATTGTTTCTGTGTTGTTTTCTCAATGTAAACGCCCCACTGGTGTATGATCGCTAAACACTTTGGGATTTCCTCTGCCTATTGCTAAAGTTCTGTATTGATACCATGATAAACACAATTATTTGCCTCCACTATTGGCTGGAGTCCAGTCTTACACATGTAGGGCACCACACCTTCCTCACTGGAGAAAATGTCATCGGCTTCAGATTAATTGCAATCCGCTGTTGGTGAGTGTAAGGACCAGTTTGGCACAATCACAAGAGTTTTTTTTCTCCCTCTGTAGTCTGCTGCCTGCAAGATTTGTCATAATCAAAACTTTTATTCTCAAGGATTTATATTTGGTTCAGGGTTTGGAATTTCTTTGTGCAACTAGGACTTTGATTCCTTTGGCTGAGTCCAGTGTTTTTTTCAGAATTATTACCCCAAGGCTGCACATACTTAAGTACCCCAAGGTCCTTAAGGTCTGCATCCTCTGGCTCTCCAGACTGCTAGCTTTAAACTAGGCATATATAAGTTGGGCTACTTTCCTTCACTTTTGGGCACAATTATTTACCACCCAACAAAATACAGTATCCCCAAGATTTGCTATGTGTGAATATATGCCCAAATACAAGCAGGTTTTGATTGCTGGATATTATTGTATGCATGTGTGTTTCCACAAAAGGCGCCCATAGAGGATTAAATTACAAACTCTCAAACCCCTTGTGTTCTTTACAATATAATTGGCACTGTTCTTGATGCACCTGAACCAGCCCTTTTAGGTCTCAAGAAAACTTTGGGACATTTCTCAATTTCTCTTAAGACAAGGCTGTTAATACTAGTGCTTTTAATCTTTTCCATCCCATGATCCTTCTGTCCTGGTCCCCTGTCTCGCTGTATTTGATCATTTGGAGCCTATATCGTTCTCCAGTTTGGAGAAACCTGCCACCAAAATCAAGTCATCTGGTTCCCCCTTTGATGTTTTCTATTAACTGGCATAAGCCAATGTACAGACTGATCCAGATCATCCCAACCATGCTTAATCAATATTAAAATTGTGCTGGCTATGCTAAAACTAAAGTTCTCAGCTTCCATGTATGGCTTAAAGACCCTTGCAATTTGCATTTGTGTTATCATGCTTGTATGAGATGATGATAACGGATTGATGGCACAACGGGCCTCAGGAAGTAATCTCTTTAGTACTATACATTCAAATGCCATAAATAAAATGCCATCAAAATGTCCAATTTGTCCACTCAATCAACAATGTCAACATCAGCAAACCACTCACTTATTCAACTTATGTTGGTTACAACAAACTGTAATGAAGTCTTAGACATAGAAAAATGTATTGTCATTTCATAAACACAGAGTGTAAACAAAACAAAATTTCAATACATTCAGCTTTCCGACAGTGAGAAGCAAATTAGCAGTGAGAACATTTCCATTTATAAAAGGCAGCAGTGATCAAAATGTAAACAGTAAAGGAGGGACATAGTGCAAAAGGCACTCAGAAAGACTGAGTTGAGTTATTTTTCGTACAATCACCATGTAGTGCCAGTATGTGTACAGTGTGATGCGGAGTCTCCATTTTTGACGGGGAAAAGCTCTTACAGAACCAGTTGGTCCTGCAGGGAATGCTGTGAAACCTCTTCCCAGGGAAAACAGTCCATGGTGGGTGTGTGAGGGTGATGATGTTACAGACTCGGGACATGCTGCGCTGGTATGAAGTGGAGACCTAAATGAGGACTACAAGCAAGCTGATTAGGTTCCCTCAGACAGTTTCTAACAATATGCACAGAAATTATTTTGAAAATTAATAGCTGTAACTGATATGCAGTTTGAGATGGAATATTATATAGAAATTAGCATTTAGTTCACAGGCCACAGCTCTGGTGGAGTAAAAATGCTTATCGCATGCTCCCTGAAAACTATCACTATCTCTGATATGGAGCTCTGTGATAAAAAAGCACATTTAAAGTGGCATTTTATTATGCTCCGTTTAAGACACGCCTGTGAATAATCATGTGGTCTAATCAGTATCTTGATATACCACACCTGTGAGGTGAATGGATCATCTTCACAAGGACAAGTACTCACAAACTCAGTTTTAGGTAGATTTTTAAACAATATTCGAGAGGAATAGGCCTTGTGTACAAACAAAGTCTTCCACAAAATGGGTGTTGGGTACTTCATTATCTTGATGTTATAAGCATTTTTTTTATGATGTAATTTATGTTTTAGCTCTAAAGTAATCAACAGAGAATTAGAACATATGTCCTACAATCTAGACCCAGAAATAGCTACAACTATTTCAGAGATGTTTTTTTTTTTTTTATGTTTCACGATCTTCAGAGTTGAGGTCTAACTAGGCCTTCTGCTTAACATAATCTTGAAACATTTGGTCTTCATCTAAAATTATAATTCATCTTAATCCATTGAGCAGATTTTACTATTCAGAACAGATAAAACGCCTTGGGGAGTTGGGTTAAAGAATAGAATGAGTCATACCTAAGGATTTAGGAAAAAGACAGCCAGACTCCAAAAGGAATCTTCCAGCAATTACAGTAGGTTGTGGGCTCTTTACTGAAACTACTGATGTTCCAAAAGGTTAACCCATCTCTTTTTCTAAATGTTTTATTTTAATGACAGGATGGAATGTTATTGTTTCAGCTTATCGTTCACACTCACAGATACCTGTTTTCTTTAAGCATCTGTTTTTGCATGGTTGGAAATAACCAGTATTTCCCCTGGAATTTCTTATGCCAACATACTCTTTATAACATATATGTTATAAAGAGTACATTTTCAGGGTTTCTCCTTTACATTTATGAGCAAAAAATGTATTATTTATTGTAGTTTAACTAACTCTATTTAGGCTATTTAGGGCAATCTGCATCAATGTGCAATATAGAACTTCCAATGTAAGTTCCAAGAAGAAAAACGTATACAGTGCAGCATAAAAAGAGAATAAAATAACACTTCATACTGGCACACATCTAACAAATGCTCTGGCATAGTGAACACTTTGTCTGCACACAAAGTAAAAAAATCAGTCAAGTGATATTACTTGTCACTTGGTGGAAAAATCATAAATCTTGTTTAAGTCTGATACAGTTTCCAGAGTGAATGTTTTGTTATACTTCTCTTCACCTCTCCTTTGAAACAACTCCAAAAAACTGCAAGACACTTAAAATTGTCAGCATATAGAAGCCTGTTTTATCAAGAAAGAAATTAATCAAATTTTCACCTAGACTATATTTGAGTTAATCAGCACATTGTTTAATAGAACACAATATCACTTTTAAACCAAGGAAACTGCAAAAAATATCTACACAATCAGTACATCTTAACTAATTTCACGGTTCTCTGGAATCCTTGAACATATCTACCACCACAAACACACATACAACATTAAAGCGCATAAAGCTGTAGTGAATTTTAAGCATACACATGCAGGCATTGAAATCGTTTATGCATTTTTGGTTGCTTGTCAAATTGGCACTGTTCACTATGAATAGTGAGACAGAATTGTTACTCTGCTTTTCATCAGCATGTTGAATCTTGTCTTTTAATATGCACCCACTGCAGTCTAAGCTCTTAAAACACAGAACTAAAAGATTTAAAGGATTTTGTTCAAATCCACCCTCGAGTTAAAATGCTGACAACAAGCTATAAGTACTAAACACAAGTTCTGGGTCTCACTTATCTCTCTGGGTAACTTTGATCCCTAAATTACAGTACCTAGGCATTGTGGAAGGGCTGAGTATTTATTAATTGTAGTTTTTCTTCCTCAACCTATAGTCAAGGAAGATGCATACTTTGTTTGAAAAAGCATATCAAATTTTTTTTTTTTTTACCAGACATTAAAAAAATTATTAAGAAGTTGTAATATTTGTATATTGTACTTTTTTTTTGTCTGTGTTTGTCATTATTATAAGTAAGTTAGTAGCAGGCCTTGTTAAATACTTATCTAGGGCTTTTGAAGATATTTATCATAAATTAATGAAACTGTGTTTCTTTGCCTTGTGACACATCCTCATAAGTAATAAATAAAAGCTTTTACTTTTTCAATTTACTGCTCAGACTTTAAATATGTTCAAGTTTGGGTAAATGGCATTTTTTTTATAATATTTGCCAGTTTCCTGACTTGTCAACTGTCAACTTGAATACAAACGATTAGGGTGTATATTTAGACCGTATGTTATTTGTGTTTTTATTTATTTTTGCTACATTTTATCGCAGACCTACAGTGTGGATAAGCAGGTTGCAGACAGTGCCAGCACGGCCACAGCTTATCACTGCGGGGTCAAGGCCAATGCAAAGACAGTTGGACTCAGTGCTAAAGCAGTGGCCTATGAATGCAACACCACCTTTGGAAATGAGGTCTACTCAGTGCTACGACGTGCTAAAGCCCAAGGTAAATGTAGTGGATGAATAGGTGTTCTGCATAATGGAAAGATCAGCCAGTTAAAACTGGATTCTTATCTCAAGATACAGATTAACCTCATTTACCTTAGCTGAATATAGGCGTAGTAAAACAATCATCTGATAAGAATTTGATATAGCATCTTATGGTTAAATGCACTTATAAGACTTAATGCTTGACTATTTGATGTTCATTTCATGCAATTCTGATATGAGCGTATCCCTGTGTTGTCCAGGTAAATCAGTGGGTATAGTGACCACCACACGTGTCCAGCATGCCTCGCCAGCTGCAGCCTATGCCCACTCTGTCTCCCGCAGTTGGTACAGCGACGCAGACCTGCCTTCCGATGCTCAAGAACATGGCTGTGTGGACATTGCCACCCAACTGGTCACCAACTTTGATATTGATGTATGAAAGAATAACTCTTTTAATTTTGTGATTAATTGTAAACATCTACAGGAATCTTTATGGCTGAAACCAATGTTAGATCGGCTTTTTTTTAAATCTATTTTAACTGTTGCCACCTTATCTAAAAAACACCCAGAGCACTGCTAGTAGCCCCATACATGCTTGTGTTAAAAAGGGCTATTACTTTACCTTTGTCTTTTAAACCTAACAACAGTCATTATGGTCAGATAAATAAAAGTTTTATCAAACCAAAGGACATGTCTCAAAAACAAAAGACCTACCCCTCACTCAAAAAGAGAAGGTATCCTTGTAACCTAAATAAAATATATCAATTTGTAACAAGTAGAGGATTTAACTTAATTTGTCACTAATTGAAGCAAGTTATTTAAGTTTTAAGTTGGTGCCTTCATTTTAGAGTACTCAGTGCATTTGAATTAATTAGAGAACTAACTTCACTGTGGATACTATGGGTCGGATTTATCAAGATCCAATTTTGCGTGCAGTAATTTGCGCTCGCAAACTGGAATTTTGCGCAAGGGGCTGAACCATGGTTTGCGGGTGATTTAACAAGAGTGATTGCGTAACTGGTGGCAGGCGCAAAACTGTTAGAGACGCCCTATTTAAATGATGGTTTTGCGCGTTTTGTGGTTTGCGGCAAAGTAGTTTGTAGTTTCTACAAACTAGTGCGTTAAGAAATTTTAATCTTACAGTGACACCCAACAAATATATATATATATATATATATATATATATATATATATATATATATATATATATATATATATATATATATATATGTAAAGAAAAAACTTTGGCAACCTTTAGTCCCTAAGGTGGTATGTGGCTGAATTTCTACTTCACTGCAGTAAAAAAAAACAAAAAAAAAACAGGTGTTTTGTATTGGCCTGTAGAAAAATGCACATACCAAATGGCTCACAAGAAGTGACTGTGGATGAGATTACGCATCCCCGCAGCATTGGCATGTTGCTCCACAGGCGCAGGGGGAGAACCCCGACCCGGTCGGACAGCACTTCTGAGATTGGGAGATCCCAGCTCTCGCTGCAACCGTACGCTGGAATGACCCAGATGCAAAAAAGTGCAATGTTGCAAGGAGTTTTGTGATATCTGGTATTGCGTGGGTCCTCCTTGTGGCTGGCTCCAAATCCATTCGGAGTTCCCCCAACAGCTCCAAAATGGCAATGCTGGATAAACTATGTTTTGATGATCGTTTCCTCCTTCATTGCAAAAATATTCACACGGAGTGAAAAAATGCGTTCTCTGCGTCTCCTTGCTTCATATTGATGTCTCCTTCTTGCGACAATAACCGCTGCCATGTGTGCGCAATTACGCATACAGACCATTTGCACCTTCTTTTGAAACGTGTTAAATATAGAGTCAGATACCGTTAGCAAAATTGCTTTCAGGTTTAATAAATCACTTTGCGAGTGCTAAATTAATATATTTACATGTTCTCCTCCCACAAGACGCACTTTTGCGTGTAAACGCCCCATATTGCATATTCATTGCAGAAAAAGTACTAAATGGATAAGAGGCGCTATTTAGCACGTTTTAAAGACCAAATCCTTTTAGCACGCTGTTGATAGATCAGTTTGTACATTTTTTAGCGTGCGCAGTGAAATAGCTCACGTTTTTATACACGCAAACCTTTGATAGATCCGGCCCTATGTGGCACTATCTTTGATCCCAAGATCTTTTACTTTTGTTTTTTGGCTGCATACCCAAATTACACCTGACAGCATATTACTGTATCACACATGGAATCTAGCTTCTCCATGAAATGTAGTGTTGGCGGACATTCGCCTGCTGCTAAGTGTGTGGAGGTCTGCAATTGCCTTTCCTAATATCACTCCTGGATTACAGTATTTGACTATGCACTTTAAATTATGAAATTCACACAACTGCTTTGCATGCATCTCATTTAATCATGACTCGATAATCTATCCAATATGCCATCAGGCAAACCTCCCCTCTATGTTAGCCTGTGCAAACCTAAAGAGCAATGACAAGATAAGATAACATGTAGCTAATGGTAAACTATCTTATCCAGCTCAGGTAGCACTTTAAATTGTATATTGCCTCGAGGCACACTGTGACTCCTGCAACTGTAAAAGATTAACTATTATTGATCTTTTTATGGTTGGTCATGTTATTCTTTTATTGTCACTTCAAGAAAAACCTTTATGCCTTTGCCTAAAGTAGCTACTAATCAGTTTCCATTTCAAATATCCCCCCTTTCAGCATGAAAAATTTCCCAATGAATACTTTGAATTCAGTAAAGCTTTTCAGGTGAATGATGCAAAGAAATTCTGCACTAAGTTTTTCAAATTTTTTTTTTAAAGGTTATTTTAGGGGGAGGCAGGATGTACATGACACCAAAAGGCACTCCAGATCCTGAGCATCCCTCTTCCAATTCTCGCAAGGGAAACCGCAAAGATGGAATAAACCTTATTGATGTGTGGCTTAATGCTAAACCGGTACAGTTAATTAGCAATAGTTGGATATATTTTCCTATATTTAATTGACCTCTGCAACTAACAGATACATGTGACCTTGGATGTGTTTCAGAACAAAAAATCACACTATGTCTGGCATAAAAAAGAGTTTGATGAGATAAATGTAAGAACCACAGATCGTCTTATGGGTGGGTATACAAGTAATCTATAATGCCTTTATCTCTAAGTATTACCCTTCATCTTTACAGCCATGTCAAACCATCATGTTGTAATGTGTGAATTTACCAGCATTATCAGGTACAGTTACAGAGATAAAGCCTTAAGGGTATATTTCTTGCTGTAATTATCTATGCAACAGTAATCCAGGGGCAGCTATGAGTTCAAAGTCTTTATTATCTTAGTATTGCCTTGCCGTCTGATATGTAAGGTGTTTAACTTGTTGCACTTTCACATGGCCACTATTTTTGATGTTCATGTCATAATTACTTCTAAACATAGCTGAATCTTTCCTCTCTAGCCACGTCTTAAAATTCTGATTTGGTAAAGCCTTTCATTTGTGGTTCTAGGTCTTTTTGAACCAAAAGACATGAAGTTTGAAGTTTTCCGAAATACCACACGAGACCCATCCATTGTGGAGATGACAGAAAAAGCTATTCAGATCCTCAAGAAAAACCCAAATGGATACTTCCTCTTTGTGGAAGATAAGTATAATGAGTTACCAGTGAATATAAAATCACAATGAATCACACTTGCATTTTAGAAAAATGTAATTTCAGAATCCTATTTGTGCATGATAAATGATGTCTTGTACTTTATTACGAGGTAGAATTGACCATGGACATCATGATGGTATTGCTAAACTGGCTCTTACTGAAGCGGAGATGTTTGATCGAGCAATTGAGCGTGCTGCTCAAATTACCAGGGAATCTGACACGCTGACTGTGGTAACTGCGGACCACTCTCATGTCTTCACTTTCGGTGGTAACACACCCCGAGGCAACCCTATTTTTGGTAAGAATCTAAGATTTTTTTGTTTATAAGAGTAACAAGCATGCAAAGCAAATATTATTTTACTAAAGGCAAAAAATATTGACATGGCATTTAATTTCATACATGTATTCTAAGGCTATGTTTACAAGCAGGCATAAGGGATCCAGATCTGATCTTTGTGGCCATATGCTACTCATGTCGGATTTTGTAGCAACAATCTAAATTCTGCCCAATTTTTATATTTTCACCCCCCAACAAATCATATTTGAGCAAACTGCATAAATGGTCATGCCAGGTTTCTTCTGACTTTTACTAGAAAACAACTGCACAGTCAAAAAGCCACATAGTATTTACTGTATATTTGAAGGAAGAATCAGGAGGAACCCCATGTGACGATGTACAGGTTCTACCTGCTGCCAGGTGTACTTTTTCAACCAGTAAACTAGTCTTATCCCATAATGTTATTGTGATTAAATATGTATCTTTGATATTTTAAATACATAATTTACCTTGTCAAAATGAACATTTGAAACAATATGAGTCTTCACTGCAAAAATTTCAATTCTAAACAAGTATTTTTTACTTAAAATAAGTGCCTTTTTTCTTGAATTGAGGAGATAAGTAAACAACTTCCCAATGGAACAAGATAATTTACATTTAAAATAAGAAAAAAAAACAATTGCATTGTCTTATTTCAAGGGAATCTTAAGTAATTATCTTATTCTAAAAGAAAAAAAATACTAATTCGATTGGCAAAGCATCTTATATACCTGCTCAAATCAAAGGTAAATACACTTATTTAAGAAATGTTTACTTATTTCTAGATTGTTTTTGCAGCGTTCATATCTAAAATAAACATTCTGGATGTCTAAAAATTAATTTCCTCTTCCCCTTCAATTTGTATTATTTTCATAGGGAAGACATGTATTTCAGAAATCATAAATACAAATACAGTCAAGCTGATAAATGTCAAAACAGCCAGCTAAAATGCTGGTGAAGATTCTCAGTCATCCAGGTAAAAAAAAAAAGTAAAAAAAAAAAAAAAGAATCCACTGCACTTTGTTTTCCAAGTTTGAAGACATTTCACTTCCCAGAGGGAAGATTTTTCAATTAAAAAAATTGAAAATAGAAAATATTTTGAATTGAAAAAGCTTCCTGGATAGGAAGCGAAAAGTCTTTAAACTTGGGAAACAAAATGTCTAAACATATCAAGAAATATAAACTCTTTTGGTTTTTAACATTCTAAAAAGCAGTTTCTGCTGCAAAAATGTGATTTCGGAAATCTATTATTTCAATACTGACCTGGAATGCGATTTTGACCAGGAAAAATCCTAATTTAGTGATCTACACATTGAACAACAGAGAGGAGAGTGCTTTTAATAAATGTTAAAAAGGCCTGCCAGAATGGGCATCATATAAACCTACTCATTAACTCATGCAGCAATATTATCCTTCGCCATGTCCCTATCCTTTGCAGCTGTAGTGCTGCTCCTGTCTTTTACACACTGCCCAATTTGTGTTTCATTTATCCATTAAAATCTATAGCTCCATTTATAAATTTGCATTTATAAGAAGGGTCCTGTGAAAAGATTCTGTTCCAATGAGAACTGCTGTATGAACATAGCCTAAGTTCTTTATCCTCTTTGGTTATGATGTCAAAGCCTGTTCAAGTATCAAGGAAAACTTTGCATTACAAATATTGTTCACTTTCCTACACTATCATTCAGGTCTGGCGCCAAAGAAAGCTGATGACGAAATGCCTTTTACCAGCATCCTTTATGCCAATGGCCCCGGTTATGTGCATGTAAACGGAACCAGAGGCAACATCACAACGGTGGATTACTGTGAGTACAGGCTAATGGTTTTCAGATGCAGTCCTTTGTCTGTGCTGATCTATGTACAGACAGCTTTAACTGATGTGGTTATGGCTGAGTCATGCCTGTACTTGCCTGAAAACAAAGTTGAAATATAGTGCATTCATTACATTGTGATCTGTTTTCTTTTTCCCACAGAATCCTTAGCATTTCTGTATCTCAAATTTTAAGAGGCCTTTGTATGTCTTTTTAAAACATTTAACAATATTGACCAGATGGAAAACTTATAAATACTTATGCCGTGTGATTATGCTTGTAAATATCTTTTATATCCCCAAATTATGCTCCTTTTGATGAATGGACCGACATTTTGGAATCAGATTTAATGTTTAATAACCATAGACCCAACCCAGCTCTGTATGGAATTTGATTTTACAATGTATCCATCTGGGGAGGCAGGGAGCCTTGTAAAATACATGTAAATGTTGTAATGAAATTCTAAAGCAACAAGAGAGCAAAACTCTCCACAGTACTTTTCTTACGATCTGTGCACATTGTGGGTCAAAAAAACAAAAAGAAAACCTTTATCTGGACTTTAGGAAAAAATTTAATGTTTTTAATCATAACAACTCCTCTTTCATAATACTTTATCTTACTTCCTCTGTAATATGTGCTCATTTTATTTTAAAAGTCAGGCACTATTTCTGTAATTTACATCAAAAGAACTTTAATTGCCTGGGTGCTGGAGAAGGCTGCCATTAGCTTTGTGTTGGTAAATTATGGCAACTTTAGAAAAGACTACTTTAAAGGCCAAACTACTTTTAAAAAATGAGGCAAATGTAATAATAATAGTGCAAAAGTAAAAATAAACCCATAAAAAAGATCATTAAAAGCAAGAGTAGTAAAGGCAGGAAACTCAGGTTTTTACCACATTTTTACTGTATAAAATTAGGAAGATAAAACATGACAACAGAAGCTTTTTAACAATATATAGAATAAAAACTAACGGTTTTAAAGCCTTGTTATTTTCTGTATAATCTTAAGTGTTTTGCTTTTATCAACTGTAACTGGAAGATCATAAGTTTTTATTATTTCAAAATAAAGAAAAAATTATTTTGATGTTCATTTCTAAAAATAATTATGGTTGGTATAATTTTTTTTTGGATTGATATTCTATGCAGCTTCTCAAACATATGTTGCAAAGCTTAGGTCTGGTCAAAGACTGTAATTGTTCAGTATTTAACTGATGTCTTATTTGGAAGTTATATAGCAAACTTTTAACTTTAAAAACACTTCTTGAGCTGTGTAATTTTGATCAGTGGGTTTTATAGAGGCTTCTGCAGTTGGGTGTATTTCTTATCATTTTAAGGGAAAAAAAAATTATGCTTATTCTACCTGAAGATCTCCACCAGTAGCCATCAGTTAGGATTTAACATATTTAATTCATTTCCCTGTTTTCTTTTGCTTTCAGTACTATTTCACATCTTGTTATTTACACGTCCCATTTAACGGACTGATTGGTTTTGACTTCTGTATCGATTGCTCTATACAGATTGTTATGTATAGATGTTTATCTAATTATTGTCTGTAAAGTTAATTGGTGACTACTGCTTTCTAAATAATTGACAGGGTTATGCTTTTGTTTAACTTGGCACTTGTCTTGCAGTTGACGAGGAGTACATGCAGCAGGCTGCAGTTCCGTTGGATTCTGAGACACATGGGGGAGAAGATGTAGCCATATATGCTAAAGGTCCAATGTCTCACCTGTTTCATGGAGTGAAAGAGCAGAACTATATAGCACATGTTATGGCTTACGCAGCCTGTTTGGAGCCATACAAAAACTGCCCTCCTCACCATCACAGCCATTCCTCAGCTGTGTGTTCGCACAGACATTTAGGCCTTTTGCTCATCATGCTTGTCCTTCTCTGTTTTTTAAGATGACCTTCATACATACACACACATGTTAGCAGACATTTAACTTGCTAGGCTATATGTATGCAGTAAAACAAAGACTATGGACTAAGTGCTTCCAGGTAAATATGCAGACATGTCTGCTATGTGCGTGGGCAAGAAATAGATTGATAAACATCGGCAGTACTGTAATAATTACCAGAAAACTCCCTTAACCACATCACATTTATCAACACACAGTTGTATTTTACCTTGCATTTGAAATACATGTTTGAGCACGTGACTGTTACCTCATATCAGCTGCAAAGCAATAAAAAGGCAAATACTGACAGCGTGTGCACATGCAAATATGCAAAGATTAGCTGGACTTTCATTAAAAACTGTTTACCTTAGACAAACAATTTAAGAGTCAGGTACTGATCCAGCTTTCCAATTGAACAATGAACAACTTCAAAGAGACTACAGAGTTGCACTAACCTGTAAATTCATCATTTAGCAAAAGGTTTTCAGAGCTATTCAAGCCACAGTTCAGATTTATATTGAGTCAAAATTTACTGTGTGTTCATAAAACAGATTTTTTCCCCTGAATAACTTCAAACCAAAAACCAAGCTGGAGCTGAACTGTGTAATGTCTGGACTCTATAGAAGCATATACATGAATAAAGTTTCTCAATAACATAAATTAAACCTGACATTTTGACAAAACTGAAGATGTTCAATGGGCATATAAAAAGGCAGGTTACTTGAGCTCTTATGTCTAGTAAATAACATGTATGTATTTTTATATTAGATATCCATTGGATTCCAGTTTTAACATTTTTTAATTCAGTTGTTTTGCTACATAAGTGTTTGTATTGTAAATAAATATAATTTGCCTGCAAATGGTTAATGTAATTTTGTACTAATTGTTTCTTAAATATATAATTTTTAAACTTGGGTTTTTCGTGTTGTTTTTTATTGAATCGATTGCCAGTATTTTGCTCCTCTTGGTGTCTTTCAAACAAATGTGTTGAGTTAGGATTCAGGCATATTTTTGCACATTACTCCCATCCAAAGAAAATCTTAAGATTAAAGGTACTTTTTGCAAAGTAACAGCCTCAAGCCACGCATTGGAAACTTAGTCATTGTCAAGTTTGTAGCTTTCAGAAGGAACAAGGTGAAGACTGCAGACTGTTGAAACTGATAACTTTAAAATAGAATAAGATAAACATACAGGTAAAAATGTTAGAGGAACAGATCTTTGAATAGGTATCTGTAGTATTTGGGCAGTGAAAACGAGGCATCAGAATGTACAATGTTAATGGAAATATCTGGCAAGGAAAAAATGTAAACTACTGAGCTTATAGCATTTGAGGGAAGAATGGAAGGGTGACATAAAATATAGGTGTTTAAATTGGGGAATAATGTGTGCTTAAGGAGAAGGTGTGCAGGGGGGCTGAGGGAGGAAGGCTAGTTAACATGGATGGAGCTGTACAAAGACATATAAGCCAGGTGTAAGAGAGATAATTTCAGATGCAAAAAGAAGATAGGACAAGATCAAACCAAGACATTAATGGTAAGGGATGAACTAATAAAGCAACAGTTTAGAGCAGTGGTTTGAATCCTTGTTCTCAAGTACCACTCCCCTGGATTTTACAATTCTCCTCCTTGCCACACACCTGACCTATATAAAAGAATGACAAATAGGCTTTTGCAGTGCTTAATGACTTTAAATTAGGTGTGCTGCAATAGAGACATATAAAACATACTGGGAGGTGGTACTTGAGGTGCAAGTTTGATACCTACTGCCTTAGAGAACATAAACAACTAGGACATTATAAAAACAGTGAGAGCAAAGAAAACTCGGACACATGAGGATCCTAACATTTTAAACATAAGAGCAAACTAAGAATTTAAAAATAGTTGGCTCCCAGTGAAGGTCAGCTATAGTTAATCTTTGATACACCACATAAGTGTGAATGGATAGTACAATTACATTTTTTGGCAGGGATTTGTCAAGAAAAAGCTCAATTGGCTTAAAAAAGCAGATGTTATCCCATTCAGATCATATAGTTCAATTGTTTTAGTGGCTATTGGAAATTATATATTATATATTGAGCAAAGGAAAACTGGATCTCCTGGATCTTGAAGAATCTACACCTAAGCATATTTGAATGCATAAATAGTCAAAAGTGGAGACAGAAAATCTACCATCTTAACGTCGTAAGGAAATCATATTTAAATGTCAAATCATTCTGGCTTAAACATGTATATAAATGTACTCTATATCAGACAATATTGTCCTAAGATTTAGAAAATTTCCATTAAAACAAATCCTGTCTTAAAATCTGTGTTGTTTTTTTTTCGTTATCTTATGCAGACCAGCTAGTTATACATCAGTTATAAGTGTAAACCCATTATACACTGCTCAAAAAATTAAAGGAACACTTTGAAAGAACATCAGACCTCAATGGGGAAAAAATCATGCTGTTTATTTATACTGATATGGACTGGGTGATGTGTTAGGAGCTAAAGGATACCACATCATTTGATTGAATTGAAAATTATTAACCTACAGAGGGCTGAATTCGAAGACACCCCGAAAATTACAGCAAAAAAATGATGCGGCAGGTTAGTCCATTTTGCTGAAATTTCATTGCAGCAACTCAGAATGGTTTGTATGGCCCCCACGTGCGTGTATGCATGCCTGACAATGTCAGTGCATGCTCCTAATGAGACGACAGATGGCTTCCTGGGGTATCTCCTCCCAGATCTCGACAAGGGCATCACTAAGCTCCTGTACAGTCTGAGGTGCAACCTGGTGGCGTCAGATGGATCGAAACATAATGTCCCAGAAGTGTTCTATTGGATTTAGGTCAGGTGAGTGTGGGGGCCAATCAATGGTATCAATTCCTTCATTCTCCAGGAACTGCATGCATACTCTCGCCACATGAGGCCGGGCATTGTCGTGCACCAGGAGGAACCCAGGACCCACTGCACCAGCATAGGGTCTGACAATGGGTGCAAGGACTTCATCTCAATACCTAATGGCAGTCAGGGTGCTCTTTCACTAGGCTGTATAGGTCTGTGCATCCCTCCATGGATATGCCTCCCCAGACCATGACTGACCCACCACCAAACCAGTCATGCTGAACGATGTTACAGGCAGCATAACCTTCTCCACGGCTTCTCCAGACCCTTTCACGTCTGTCACATGTGCTCAGGGTGAACCTGCTCTCACAGGGCGCCAGTGGCTGACTTGCCAATTCCCGTGTTCTGTGGCAAATACCAATGGAGCTCCACGGTGCCGGGCAGTGAGTACAGGGTCCACTAGAGGACGTTGGGCCCTCAGGCCATCCTCGTAAAGTCTGTTTCTGATTGTTTGGTCGGAAACATTCACACCAGTGGCCTGCTGGAGATCATTTTGTAGGGCTCTGGCAGTGCTCCTCCTTGCACAAAGGAGCAGATACCAGTCCTGCTGATAGGTTTGTAAACATTCTACAGCTCTGTCCAGGTCTCCTGGAGTAACTGCCTGTCTCCTGGAATCTCCTCCATGCTCTTGAGATTCTGTTGGGAGACACAGCAAATGTTCTGGCAATGGCATGTATTGATGTGCCATCCTGGAGTTGAACTGCCTGTGCAACCTCTTTAGGGTTCAGGTAGCTCCTTGTGCTAACAGTAATGACAGTGACCTGGTGAAAAATAGTCAGAAAAGATGAGGAGGGGAAAAAATGTCAGTGACCTCCACCCCTCTAGTGCACCTGTTGTTAATTTCATTAACACCAAAGCAGCTGTAACTGATTAACAAACCCCTCTGCTACTTACCTGACCTAATCAATATCCCATAAGTTTAATTAACTTGATGCTATACTGTGATTGCAAAGTCTTCCTTTATTTTTTTAGTAGTGCAGTTGAAACATACTTTCCAGTCACCCACCAACCTAGACTGCCAGTCAAGAGGCACTGTCTACACTTGTCACACAATGTTGAAGAGGTTTGTCACCACAAAAGCCCAATACAGAGATCCAGAAACATTGGATACTCAGGATAAATCCCAGGTTGGTCTTGGACTGCAAGGTTGAAGACATACTTAAAGCACTCATTTACAATCTCCTCAGTACAAGTTATCAACTTCCCACTCCTACAGTAAACAATGTTAATGAAGCACTGCTACCCCTTCCAGGAGCTTGGACAATTTGCTAGATTCACTTTAAAGCAGACCAACAGTTTTTTCAGTAGATGCTCACTACTAGCAAGGGCCTACCCAGTCTGTCTTGCTTCCTCCACTTACCTTCATGTGGTAAATGGTAGACTAGTCTGACCTTCTCTTCATCCCGTGTGTCCAACACATGCAGCTAAAGGTCAGAACATAAGACTACAAAGCAAATCATTTACTTCTAGCCCTGGGCATTCTTGTGCCATGTGCACTGATGAACAGCCTTTTGTTTAAACTTGGAGTTCATGACTAGCACAAATGTCCGAATCAAACATGGGTCAGGTTCTCCTCTACCTAAAGATAGAGGGATTCATCCCACACACCCACCAGGGTAAACCACTACACAGGACAGCTGAGCTTGAAGGGAGACAAACTCAGACTTTGAGCCTATCCTGTGAGGCACACCAGACAAGACAACGTCTTTCAAAGAGCTGGGTGCCAAAGCCCATACTGTGCCTTGAGATGAGTCTGACCATTTGTTACCAGTGCTGTTTAACCTCATGCACAAGCCCATGCTCCTTACCCCATCATGAGGTGATATCCACATCCCCAGAGCTAGTTTAAGTGATTATGGATAAGGTGCCTAAGGCTTCTACGTTGGACTGCTGCCCAGTCCTTTAAGCACAGGTCTCTCATGATTCCCCCTGTAGGTGGTGGGCCCAATAGGAGATTGCCAAGTTCGGCTTGCCCCATCAGGGTTTTACTGGGACTAACCAAAACACTGGGCACTTGCCGACGAGAAGCGATCCCAGCCCAGCTCCTCAATCAGGTCCTGGTTCCATTGTTCAAGGGGATGCCACAGGCTTCGATTGTCTGGCATCCGGCAGGTTTTCCAACTGCTCTTTCTATTTCAGTCAGAGCCTGTTTGCCTATCTGTCTGAATAATAATGAATGTTTGAAGTTAAATGTAAATTTTTGACACTAGGGACCTGTAAGTTAGAGGCCTGAGTGGGACAGATTTTCAAGTCCCGCGCCTGCCCGCTCCTGCAGTATTTAGTCCCGCTCCTGCAAAGAATTATGATTTTCAGTCCTGGTCCCGGTCCCGGCCACACCTGTAATAGTTTGTCCTGCTACCGCCTGCAATTCCCGCATGATTCCGACGTTCGCCTACTGCTCAAGGCAGTCACCCTTGTCTAGCACCCCTAGTGGCCATAAACGCTGCAGCACTGTCACAAAAGTCAACAGTCAGCCAGCCTCCTGTGTGTTCTTCATCATCATCACCATCATCACGACCAGCAGCGAAGCT